GAAATAAATTGGGAAGTTTTAATGTTTTCTATATGAAATATGCCATTGGCCTGGAGAGCTCAATTCAGTTGAAGAGCAATATATATATATACATAGTTAATGATATTATTTGGTAATTCCTATGGATAATTCCAAAGAGGATATATATATATATATATATATATATATATATATATATATATATATATATAATTTAGTTTTAATCTGACATTTGTATTATGCCAAACTTTTTCTTTTTTTTTTTTTTTCTTTTTTAGTGGGTACTTTTATTTGAAATAGACGCTCTGTTTTTTATTTATTTTTATTTTAAACCGAGTATTACATTTGTCTGCACACAAGAACATGCCAGAGTAAATTTCCTTTAAGTTTTCTCAAGTGCCATGTGTAAGCCAATAGATATACAGAGCAAGTTTGAAATAATATATAAAGATTGTGTTTCACAAAAAAATAAAAAGTCAACCAGCTGTTCCCGGAAGATGGCATTTATAAGGAATGCAGTCCTTATAATTATTTTGGTCAATATCAAGTGATAGATAATTAAGAGTAATAAATAAATAAGAAATGTTCACTTGTTCCCGTTCAGTTTTATGGAGATTACATCCATTTAACAGGAGACTTAATTGTTCAATCAAGTCACCTGATGAGTGGATATAATATCTAAAAATCCTAGTAGGGTCAAGAAAAGTGACAAGTTGTTGTTTTTTTTTGCGGGGGGGGTCCAGCTTTTAAAATCATATAAACATTTGCCTGTAAAATGGAGACACCCCCTTTTTTTAATTTTTTTTTTTATTTTTGAACAAAATATTTTTCTCTAAAAAACTTTTATTAAAAAGCATTTATAAGGAATGCAGTCCTTATAATTATTTTGGTCAGTATCAAGTGATAGATAATTAAGAGTAATAAATAAATGAATAAGAAATGTTCACTTGTTCCCATTCAGTTTTATTATTTTGGTCAATATTAATTAATTTTGATTAGTTATTTTGGTCAATATTAATTAATTTTGATTAGTTATTTTGGTCAATATTAATTAATTTTGATTAGTTATTTTAGTCAATATTAATTAATTTTGATTAGTTATTTTGGTCAATATTAATTAATTTTGATTAGTTATTTTGGTCAATATTAATTAATTTTGATTAGTTATTTTGGTCAATATTAATTAATTTTGATTAGTTATTTTGGTCAATATTAATTAATTTTGATTAGTTATTTTGGTCAATATTAATTAATTTTGATTAGTTATTTTGGTCAATATTTTATTTAAAAGTTTTGTTATCTCCTATTAAAGACAAAAGTGCCAACAACTACAGTGCTTGTAAAATCTATTAAAATGAATATAAACATGTTAAGTATAAATTTCCTTCAGTATGCTGTGTGTCCTTGTAGGTTATGAGCAATCATTACTTACTACAACTTCTTATCTTCCAATGACCGAAAACATCTCATCCTATGATATTTCTCTTTCAAACTACTTCTCTCAGACATTTTTTAACTTTCAAACCGACTAAAAAAAATTCCACTCTTACTATAGATCAGGACAAGCTTGAAACTAAACCAATAAACATTACCTACCAACCTAACTTAGCCTGCCTCTACCTATCAGGGGGCTCTGTCTGAGTGTGAGAGCCTGTTCCCGCCTTTCTGTCTCCATTTGTTAACTTGTAGTGTAGGTTGTCAAGCACTCTCTTTCTGCTTTTTTTTACCTGTTGCCTTCACCACAACTGCTGCTAGTCAAGTTGAAATGGCTGTGGTCACTTGACAATTATCAATTTGTATTCACATATAATAATAGACCTCCTTGTTTGCCTTCCAAGTGATTCTAGTCTATTTTTGCTCATATTAATGAATATGGCCCAGTTTTACGCCTTCATTTTTCCCTGTGAATCTGCCGCCTTTTCTTTCTTTTGAATTACTGACTCACCACTAGTTTAGTCCCCTCTCTCCACACTGATCCCTGGTCAAGTGTCACCTTTAAGGCTGCCTTTTTAAAAAAAAAAAAAAAATTTAGTTTGGAAATACTTTGGATCACTCCTGTCACACCAACAACAAATGCTACTTCATCCTTCTACCTGTAATCACTCTCTGCTTACCTGTCGGTTGGTTGTATTTACAAATTCATGATGCTAGATCAGGTCAGTTATTTTAAAATGTCCATTATTAAGGAGAGGGAGACATGTAACCTTTTCATTGACTGAAAACTATAACGAAAATTATTTTAAATGCCTTTTATATTTTAAGTAATTAGTTTAAATGGCCAAACTGTAGAATCTTTTGAAACGGTGAGTGTTGTTCTGAGTTTTAGACGCATTCTTTTTGAAGAGTTTTAAAAAAAATGGAGACATCATTGACTATAATTTCAAATTTTTAAGATTTTTTTTTTTTTTTTGCTTTTCATTTATGAGTACAACTGATTTATTTTTTTAATTATTTGTTTCAGGATTAAGTTATTTAAATAATGAAAAAAAATTTCTATTCATTTTTAATATATTGAAGGAATTCAAGAAACTATCAATTTTGATAATTGTATAAAGTAAATCTTAAAGACACTAATTGGTACAAATATCACTTTGACACAAATATCTGTAAAGTTTTAGTTTTAAATTTTCAAATTAGTGCCTGAATAATAAAACTAGTTTATCATAACTGATGTTCATATCTGTTCAAAGCATATCCAAATATAAACAAATGATGTCTATATCTGTTATATGATATTATATGAATGTATGTGATCTTCATGGAAGATTGTTTACAAAGTTTTAAAAAAAAAATCGACCTTGCTAATCGAAAAATGGCTTGATTGGTTAAAAATTCTATGAATATTCCATATGGCGTACAGGTTCAATTCCTGTTGGAGGACGAATATTTTCTCTGAAAATTTCTCGGACATTCAGGATGGTAAATGTTATTAATACTGTTTATTATAAAACAGAGCATTTACTTAAATATTTGTATCTATAAAAAGAATTTATAAACCTAAAAATGTCTTATATATATATATATATATATATAAGTTCATGTCGTATTTAATGTGGTTATTTATCTGCTTTGTCATGAAAGGAAAAATTGTCAGTGTCTCACCAGTGATGTTCATATATTGGCTTTGTTTAAAAAAAAAAAAAAAAAATTTATAAAATGTTAAAATTAAAATGAGTTTAAGGATTACAAATGATTTAGCTACCATTTTTTTGCTTTTTATATATATATATATATATATATATATATATATGGGTGTGTGTGAAAATATATAGAAAAATAGGAAGGAACTGGTTAGGTAAATAATCCAAAGTCCCTTAGTATTTTAGTTATTATTTTTAAAAATAGTGCTCGATACAAAAGTAGAGCATAAATATAAAAAAATTTAAAAAAATTTATAGATGGAACAGAGCTTACTTTTAATTCAATTTAATTCAAATAATTATATTGAAGTTTTAAAACTCTTGTTTTTGAAACATGGGACTTTTATGTCATGATTTGGAATCATATTTTTTAAATAAATAATTATATATATATATATATATATATATATATATATATATATATATATATACACACACAGCTTAATTTATTAAAACCAACAGCCAGACTACCTGCACATATCATTTTGATTATAGTGGTGAAGGCTTCTGCAGAACCATCCACACGTTTTGGGAGAGCTGAATACAGAAAACTGGTACACAGTATTCCACAAGGTCCCCCAATGATCCTCCACAGGTTTTGAATTTTGACCTGTCCTTCTCCTAGACCATTTGCCACCCAAGCCAATAAGTCTCAGTCTGTATTTACCCATAGCTTGGTGGGGGAAGAGAGAGAGAGAGATGAATTCATACTCCTCCTTTTGCAAGGGTGATTAGCGATAAGTGAATGTAATGAACCTGACTGGAATTCAAACTTGGCATTCATTCTGATTCTTCAATCCAAGATGCTATCCATTACTCAGTGTGCCTCTCTCTCTATATATATATATATATATATATATATATATAAATAAAATAAAAAGCAGACCACTTTAAGGTTCCATGTAATAAGTTATTTCAAAAGTTCATTTCCCTTTAAAAGGCTCAAGATCATCAGATCCAGAGCTTCCAAAAGTTCATTTTCAAATAAAATATTACATGGAACCTCAAAGTGGTCTGCTTTTTTATTTTATATATATATATATATATATATATATATATATATATATATATATATATAATATAAAATCTGAAAAAACTTTTCATATGCTACAAGGGGTGGGGAGTATTGAAAAGTTCTCAGCTGAACCCTCCTCCCAAAATCTAACCAAAAATGTTATTCTTTGAGATGTAGGGTGAGGTTCTTGATAAAAAAAAAAATGAAAAAACTTTGTTTGTGGGTGTCTTACATGCAGTGAAAACAGCATACTGTTTTGTTTTTTGTTAGTACAACACTGTTACAACTTAAATAACACAATTTCCAGTTCATTTTTCAATTTAGTCATACAGGATCTTTATATCTGTTCAACTCAATGATTCATATTTGTGTATTTGTCTTGTTATAAAATCTGGAAAATAAAGAAAAAACATTGAGAGAATGAAAAAATATATTTTATAGAAAAATCAATTTTTATAGATTTGATTGTTTCATGCAAAAAAAAAACCCAAAAAACTATTGAGTTCCCAATATTGCCTTTCTCATATTCTAAATAATGTCTTCTCTATTTCCAGACTTTGAAACGTCAATTGAAAGAAGCAAAAGACATTATACAACGTCAAAAATCCGAAGTAGATGTTCTGAAATCCAAGCTGGATATGTCTGTGTCCAAATTGACTGGCACTGAAAAAGCTTTGTCTGAAGCTCTTAAAGAATTGAAGCAAGAAAAAGAGCAGTACATAAAGATGTCGAGTGATTGGGCGAAAAGGGTAAAAACTCTAGATGCCCAGTTGCGAGAAACATCACAAAAGCTTGAAAAAAGCAGAGATGCTTTACAAACGAAAGAGAAAGAATGTAAGCGATTAGAAACGGAAGTGAAATTGAATATGCAGAAACTGAGAGACAGTGAACGGGAAGTGATCAAGCTGAAGGCTGTTGAAATTGAATATCGTCAGGCAAAGGAAAGATTGGATAACAACCATAGAGAGTTGGAATGTCTTCGAAAGAGCCTGAAAGAAAAGGATATGCGATGCCGCAAACTTGAAGACCACATCGAGGAAATTAAACAAGAGTTCCGTCAAGAGAAAGCCAACTTTGAACGGGACTTGAGCAAAATGAAAGAAAAAATGGATGACTCTGCTGACACGATGAGCCAATCGTTGACCAGTGACATCTCGTCAATTCTTAATGGAAAGAATGCCATAATCAACCAACTGGAAGAGAAATTGATCGAGAGCCATAACAAGATTGAAGAAATTAGCGAAGAGATGCAGGAAGAGATTGAGAAAGGTGCAGCTCTCAGACCTCAACTGGATGCTGCTCTCAAAGAGAACTTGTACCTCAAGGAACGACTGGATGTTTTGGAGAACACTTTGATGTCTCTCCAGAAAAAAATGGAAACTGATGAAAAAGAAAAGTTGGTGCTTAAAAAGCAAGTAGAAGAACAACAACGTGAGGGTCAGAATTTATTGTCCAAACTTGAAGTCGAGCACAGGGACAATGCTGATCTCCAAGAAGAAAACGCTGACCTCAAAAACCTGATGATCAATCTGAATGACCAGCTCCAGGGTCATCGCACAGATGTTGACCAGCTCGTAGAACAGGCACTTCAAGAAAAGGAAGGCATCTACAAGCAGAAACTGTCTGAAATATCGACCAGCTTGACCAGTGGCCGTAGCCTTGTGAGCATGGTAAATTCTTTGTTGAGCCAAATAATGGATACTCAAAAGAAAGATTATAGCCATGTTCTTGCTTCTGCTATTTCTTCGGCAGCTGATCTTGAGAGCTGCTTGTCAACTGCCCAGTCTGTGATTGAGGATCTCCCTCCCTTGACCAAATCAGAGGCTGCAGAGCAGGGCACAGCTGCTAAAGAGCAATCGGAAATTGTTTTGATAAAGTTACAACTCGATGAGGCCACAAAGGAAAACGCGAATCTACACAAAGAACTTCATGATGCTTACAGCGATTTCAGTCGATTAGAAGCAGAAGACAAAAACTCGCGGGAACGGGCTGAATTATTGGAAAATGACTACAACCGCAAACTGAATGAACTCTCAAGAAAGATTGATGACCTTAATAGTAAATTACATTTTACTGGAGGAGAAAGCCGTTCTGGTGGACATCACAGTTCATCACCGCACAACTTTGAAAGCCAGCTTGAAGATTTAGAGAAGCGAATCCATTATGTTGGGAATGTGATGAAATCTCAGCAGATGCAGTCAAAAGTCTTGAACAGGCAATTATTGCACTCATGTGGTGATGATGATGATGCTAGTAACTTGTCTGAAGACTCTGAGACTTCTGAGGAATTGTCAGATGAAGAATTTGATTCTGAGATTGATGATATTGAAGACGACGATAATGCCAGGATTATTTCCTCATTGAGACACATGAATAGTCAAGTGAGCTCCACCAACACGAGGCTGCATGATGTTACCCAGAATTTGTCAAAGAGCAGCACGGGAAGTGGTTCTTCTCCAAAGAAAGCTGGCCTCCAAGAACGCCTTCATTCCTGTGAGCAAAAGGTCTGCCACTTGACAAATCAGTTATGGATGGAAAATGAATTTGCTGAAATCCCTGAAGGAAAAACAGTCAATGAAATCAAACTTGCATTTCACAGTTGTTTGACTTGTGTCCAGAGTAAACTTGTTGTGGTGAACGAGGAGGTAAGGGCTATAGAATCGGCAGGAACAAAACAGCAAGCAAATAAACTGACACCAAAAATTAAGGATAAACTTTGTTACTTAATCCGATACATAAAGCACATGCAGAGTTTGACAGAGGACGATTGGTACATTCTGGGTCGTCTACAGGTAAAAAAGGCATCAGTAGAGCGTCACCTCCAAAACCGACTTGACACAAAACCAGACTCTGGTAAGGCAGACAAGCAAATATTAGCTTATGCTGAGAAACTTGCATTGGAAGTGGCTATTCTTGGAGAGTTGGCTTACTTACTTCAAAACAATTACTTAACAAATCGTTGTGTGGACAATCTTTGGAAAGAGATCAATGAAGTGAACCAACTTTTCTTGCAAGTGCAGGAGAAAGTGATGAAAGACATGGAAGAGTGTCAATTAGACAAAGATACTGAGCTGCTTTCCAATTATGTAAAAATGTTGTCACAGAAGATTGTCGTCGAAGGTCATTTGATATCCAGCCTGGGGATTGAAAGGACTGTTCTTGCTGACCAGGCAGAGAAGTCTGAGGACATCTCTGACCTTCCCTGTCTGGCTACTGAAGCCATCTCTAGAACGTTAGCTTGTGAGTACATGGAGCACCAATTCCACTATCTGGGAGATCAGTTGGAGAAATTCTCTGGCCATTTCACTGCACAGGCCCTGTTACAGGGCGAGATGACTTACGCGTTGATTAACTTAAAAGAAAAGATTACCCAGCATATGGCAGATGTGTCAGACGAGTTTATAAATGAAGAGACAAAAACTGCTTTTGTGAAGTTAAAAGAACAGGAAAAGATTTGTTATGAGATTGTGCAAAAATATAAAGAGCAAAAACTTCAGCAAATCCAAGACATTGTGAAATGTTCATCTGGCAAGCAGAATGTGATTTTAGTTGTCAGCCAGGTGCACAGACTTTTGCAAACACACATTAAACAGTATGAAGAGATGCTAGAACCAAGCTTACCAACATCCAGAAAATGTCAGATCATTCACAACTCCTTAAAAATTGAACAAGATTCCTTTTTGAAGACTATGCAGACAACGTTGCAGGAATATGAAGAAATTGAAAGCCATGAAAAGGAATTCATGGATAACATAAAATCTCATCTGATGGAACTGGCAGACGTCTTGGTACTAAATGCCACGATAAGAGGCCAAGTTACTTACATTTCTGAATTATACAGCATGAAATTTGGCGCTTCACCTTCAGCTGCTTTGCAAGACAGGGACGTTGATAGTAGTATATCAGACGATGAGAGAAGATGGGAGAATTTAATGAAGAAACTTGGAAGTGTATTAATGGGTGAAGCAAAGATAAAAAGTCAGACAGCTTTCAAGTTGGTAGAAGAGTGTAGTGTTGAAATTGACCAGGGCAGAATCCAAGAAATAAAGGAATTGCTTTTGTGCGTTCCATCCGTCCAGGGTTATTGCCCCCATCGCCTGACCAACTATTCAAATCAGGTGATCCGAGAGGCAGCATTCCAGGCTCAGATGTGTTACTTGATGGAAAAATTAAAACTGGAATACGAAGAAGAAATAAATCAGTTGAGAATTCTGAATGGTGGGCCAAATATGAAAAACTTTCAGTCACAAGATGGCCGAGAATGTGAAGTTGACATGCAGGCTTTAATGCAGGTTTTTGAAATGATATTCGAACAGAAGTACAAAGATGAAATGGGAGTCTTTAGTGCCTTAAAAAAAGAAATTGACTCCTTGAAGTATGTGGCATCAGAAGGAACGGATTGTAATGAATGTGTATGGTCCAAGGAGTTGATCGATAATTTGGAAAAGGTCTTTAATGAACAGTATTCCAAAGCCAAAGGAAAGCATGAACTTCACACAGAATCGTTCAAGGAAGAAATTGCATCCGTGTCTATGAAAGTGAAAAAAATGTTTGAGGATCGTGACAGGGAAAAGGAGACATTAGTGTCTGACTATGAAGACAGAATCATTCTCCTCCAAGATGAACTTGACTGTTTGACTGTTGAACGTGATGAAGAATTGGCACAGGTAAAGATGGACATCATGACTGCTGTTGGTGCAATTCAGGCAAGCGAACATCAAACGGAAACACAACGATGTGAACAAGTTAAGCAGCTGACCCGAAATATTGCCATGCAAAAATATTATTTCAATGTAAGTTTTTATTTTGATTTATTCTTTTAAATTAATATAACTTAATGGCAGAAACACTCTGACATTTTAAAAATTCACCCTAGGTATGATGATAAACTACATCCAGCAGCAAGGCCTCTGATCAGGAGGCGTCAAGGAGCATGGAACCAACTCTTAATTGCTGCTGTTTCCAAGTCCACCCTGACCTGGGATAGTAGAATCTGTTAGGGTAAAAAAAACTGGGATCAAAAAACTATAAAAGTATAAAAGTACATTTTTATAGTAAAAATTTGCAGCAATAGATTTTAATAGTAAAAAAAAAAAAAAAAAATTACCAAAGCTCACAAGTAAATAAAATTTCAGCATTAAGTGACACGTAAGAATGCACAGATACTCTACTGAGCTGGTATTTAACTATATTCCTCCAGGGATAGAATGTGATACATGGCCAGTTTAATGTTGAGTGCACATGTAGGCAAGAATAAAAATTGCCCTGTATCGGGGGAGGTACTACCTCAGAGGTGTAATCACCAGCACCAAACTTGGATTTTTATTTTTTGCTACATTCTTCCCAAAGATTAAAACACATTGAAAAGTAACAGTTTTTGGACTGCAGCTCAAAATCTGAGCAACTCTTCTCTGATTTGAGGTCAAGAACCAATTTGCAACATTTCACTCTTAGGCCGAGCAATACTGATTTAAGGCAGAAATCTCATTTCACACGTACATAGTACTGTCAAAAATGACAGGATCATTTATGTTTGTTTAAAAAAGATGTTCTATTTACAAATTAGGATTTTTATGGGGAAATAGTGCTATAAAATAATTTTTCTCAAATATGAAAACTCATAGAGGTATCATTTTTATATTGGAGATAAAACATGATTGACCTCATTTGAAATCGGTAAACCATGTTAGTATTGGCAGCTGATATCAATTAAGGCATGAATTGAATTTCCAACCATTTTGACCACAGATAATGATTTTTGTCCTAGATTAATTTAATTTACCCACTTTTTATTGCAGCAACAGACACAGGTAACATTAAACTGAGAATTTGTAAGCAGCATTGTCGTGGGGATCATAAGATTGCCAAGGACATCCTTAGGGGATCTTTTTTGAAGTCTCCATATTCTGATGTTTGGAAAAAAAAAACAAACTTTGGTTTCTTGCTTGGAAATGTTCAGCAAGATATCTACTTATTTGAATATATAATAGAATAAAGATTCAAGTTAGTTAATCTAATGGACACACAAAATAATGGTCCTGTTTAGCATTATATTTTACATGCAAATTAAAATTGCTTCTCTAAAAACTTGGAGCTGAAATTTTCAAAACATTTGTGTCCACATTGAGTTAAAAAAAATTTTCGGCTTAGTTAACCTGATGGACATAAAGTTAGTCCAGATTAGCATTATACTTATATTGTAAATCAAGCCCCTTGCTAAAAATATAGTTTTGGAACATTCTAAAAAGTAATATTCTAAAATTGGTCCTCAGGGTCATAGCAAGCTCAGAAAACTGTCGCTGTCTTTAAAGTATGTAATGATAGACAAAAAAGGATTTAGAGAATTATAACACTAGTTGACATGATGACATCAAAAATTGATGGTAATATTGTTACATAAATTTGTTTTTTATCATTTATTTTAATACTTATTATTAATAGTTCTGATGAATCATTCAACAATGTATTCTTCATTATTTATGACCTGCCAACAATGTATTCTCCTTCATTGTTTGTGACCTCCTGCCAACAATGTATTCTCCTTCATTGTTTGTAACCTCCTGCCAACAATCCACTGTTCAATGTCTAGGTGGTAGAAATCACTAGGTTCTGACTTGAAAAATTCATCAAGCTATGTTTTAAGCTTCATGTGGCTGTTGAATAATATGCCTGTCAAATTGTTAGAAAGTGAAAAAAAAAAATTGGTAGTCTGAAGGGGGCTAAAGGAGGAGAATATGGTGGATGTGGTAGAACTCTTCCTTTGTAGCCTGGTGTCAAGCAAGTAAACTGACAGCAATGAAGGTGGGCTGGAGTTTTTCTTTTGCTCAGTGAATGTGGCATCCATGCATCATGTGTCTGGATCTTACCCATTGATTGAAGATGACAAGTGACAGTAACATGAGGGCTTGTCATCTTCTGAGCCAATTCCCTAGTGGTCTGGGGCAGATTTTAATCAGTGCATTCAATTGCTTCTCATCAAACTGGACAGGTTGGCCAGAATGCAGAGAGTCTGTGAGTTTGTATTTCCCTTCCTTGAAACAGGAAAACCATTTCTATGCCATTCTGTCAATCATAAAGTCATCTCTGTACACAGCACAAATATCTTTATGATTTTGATTAAAAGCGAAGAGATATCAAAAATGCTCGTTCCTGTCTGCTAGGCATTCCATCTGAAAGGGGTGACTAATCTGAAATAAAATTTCAATAACATTAGACAAGTTTCATAGAACAACCAGAGTTTTTAAGAAACAAAAAATGCCATAAAAAATTATTCTTAGATCTTTTGAAGAATATCACATAAAACAAACAAATATATGTAACAATCTAATATTTAATATAATATAATTTTCATATTTTCTGCCTCCATAATCTCAATTTATATAACTGTAAATATCAAAGTATCCCGAGAAAGATAAGATAAAAAGTGTCATATTAGCAATGCATTCTTGATGGTACAAAACCGTGTTGTTTCTTGGCCTCAAATTATTAAATCCTGCTAGTTTACTAAGAAAAGCGGAGATGAAGCCATGACAGATAAATAGGCCATGTTTTTTATATTATAGAATAAAATTTTTTCTTTTCTTTTTTAATAGGTCTTAATTGATGAAGTCAAGCAGAGAATTTCTGACCCTAAACTGATGCAAAAAATTGAGCACTTCCAACAAAATCTCCAGTTTCCTTCGGTAAGAAAGTTCTTAACAGATTTTTTTTTATTTTATCCTGACTCAAATTTAAAAATGCCTCCCTAAGGTTTTATTCAATGACAATGAGTGATATGTCAATCTTTGAAAACATTTTTATAACCATTTTTTTTTTTTATCATCCATACTGTTAAAAAATTTCAATAATCCTTAAATATAAGACTTTCATTGCATGGGTAAAAAAAAGCTGACTCACTTCTGATCTCAGTTGAATTATATAAAATAATATATATATATATATATATATATATATATATATATATATGTGTGTGTGTGCAATTTCAAATATATGTAGCTTTGTTTCCATAATGTATAGTTACAATCTGTAAAAAGTATAAAAAAGTTTGATATGTTGAGTTTTTTTCTTGTCTTTGGAAAATCTATTTTGGTTTTCCTTTTTTTTTTATTTTCTTTAACAATTTAATGTTTTTTTTATGACACAACATTGTACATTAGTGGCAAGGTCAATTCATCATAACTGACATATTTAAGGGGCACCAAAAGTCATCAGAATCTGTTGAACATGAAAGTGATTCTCCTAAAGTTAATGTCTGGTGTGTTTTGCAAAAAAATCGAATCATAATGCCAATTGTTTCTTTTTTTTTAACATATATATAATTCAAATATGAGACAGTGTTTATACAACAAGATATAATAACCTTGACAAATTGTTCTTCTTTTAGACAGTTTCTAAAAAAAATTCCCAAGATAACAGGTGGATTGGTAGATGTACCATTATCTTTCGACTTTTACATTTAAAATTTCATTCCACTGGATTTCTTTATGGAGACATGTGAAATTTAATTTTCTTCAATATAAAGCATGATCTTTAGAGGAATTTCAATCTAGGAAATTGATGTGATTGAAGGTATTACTGACAATCAGCTGCAAAATGTTTTCTGAAAAACAGAACTGTAAATCATTTTGCATGCATAATGATGGTGAAAATGTTCAAAAATAATAATAAATTAAAATACTTTTTCCTATCCTTTTTACAGTTATTTTTTTTTAATTATGTATAGTTACAAAGCTTTCTAAATCTCTGAGATGATAATTATAATTACTTTTTCACATTATTTACATTTATTAGGACTGTTATCCTTATCTTCATTTATACATATTCACAACGTTTTGGCCGTAAAAGGCCTTCAGCCTTCTTCAGGTGATTGGAATTTTGAACTGAACTCTATATTTCATCCTAAGGGTAGATTGTTCTAGTTCCATGTGTCATGGCTCACTTTTTATCCACTGGGCCATTTTTCCTGTTGTACACATGGCCCAGTGGATAAAGACATTGGTTAGATCCAGTGACTAGACTCAAAGAGTTGTGAGTTCAATACCAGGGCACAGCAGTGGTGAAACAAACTTGCATAATTGAGTTAAAAATTTAGAAGAGGCATGGCATGTGGAACTAGAACAACCTACTTCCAGTGGATGAAATGAAATATTCAGTTTGAAATTCAATCAACTGATTTTCTCATTCAGTAGACCACCTGCACATCCATTTTTTTTTCTATCAGAATGTCTCTACTTTTGCATCTGGGCTCAATGCAAGTCAGCCTGAAAAGTTGAATCCTTCATTTAACATTGAGACTGGTTCCTTTTATTGCTATTCCATTGTGACCAAAGTCAGCAATCAAAAAAACAAAATGTTTGTCACTCTGAGATGTTTCATAGGATCAAACCAAACTGAACAGTAAAATCTGAAGTTGTCCAACTGGTCTTTCATACAAGTAGTAAAAACTTTCTCTGATGTTAAGAAAAGGGTGTTTTAAACCAATGAAATTACTAAACTGGTCAATCTATCATTGATCTTGTGGATATTGATCTATCATTGATCTTGTGGATATTGATCTATCATTGATCTTGTGGATATTGATCTATCATTGATCTTGTGGATATTGATATTGATCTTGTGGATATCATTGATCTTGTGGATATTGATCTATCATTGATCTTGTGGATTTGATCATTGATCTTGATCTTGATCTATCATTGATCTTGTTTATATTGATCTATCATTGATCTTGTGGATATTGATCTATCATTGATCTTGTGGATATTGATCTATCAAATCTTGTGGATATTGATCTATCATTGATCTTGTGGATATTTTTTGATTAATGACAATTATCAATTATCTCTTTGCAGATTGTTTTCTCAATTGTTTCTTGCTGTAATTTTATTGTCTTTTTCGTTTCTTTTTTTTTTTTTTTCATAAAAGGATCTCACCAACCATCAGAATGAAAAAAAAAAAAAATGAACTTGATGTTGAACAGACAGACAATCTTTCTCTCTGCTAATAACAGCTTTGAATTAAACAAAGATGATGCACCCCCTTGGAGATGTAAAAAACTACATTCTGTTTTCTTTCTCTTTTATTTTCACTAAAAGATTTTTGTATTTAATCAGATACAAAAGCAGCATTTGTTTTTTAATAGAAATTTAAAGTAAAATTTCCAACACACAAATGTTGTCAGAATGCATATTATTAAAACATTAAAAAAAAAAAATTCATGACAATGAAGACAAAGGTGAGAAATTAAAATGTGTGTGTGTGTCTATATTTCTGAGATGAGGTATTGTAACTATTTACACTGTCTGGACTGTTGTCCCCAAGGGCACATGGCCCAGTGAATAAAAATGTTGGTTGAAGTAATCTAGTGATTTCACCCAAAAGGTTGTGAGTTCAATACCTGGCCACAGCAGAGGTGAACAAAAACTTGGAGAGTTTAGTTAGTAAAGGATACCCACAAGGCATCTACAGTTCAGTTGGAAGTTCCAACATAAATCATCTGAAGATATCCAGAGTGTACAATGTCATAAATGTCATGACAATAAAGATGACAATACTGTCCAAACAATTAAAATATATATATATATATATATATATATATATATATAATTTATTTATCTCTCTCTCTCTCTCTATATATATATATATATATATATATATATATATATAATATTCCCAAGGATAGAATCCAGGTAGAACTCAATGTCAAGACAGAGTAAAAATATATTATAAAAGGCTCAAACACTAATATTCCATGGTTATGATTTTAACTTTCTTTTGAATTTGAAAGTCTGATGATTTGGATTGTGATTACGATTACAATGTAATAAATTATAACCATGGAATATTAGTGTTTAAGTCTTTTATAGTGTGTGTATATATATATATATATATATATATATATATTAAATTTAAAAAATTATAATGTTGCATATAAATTTCATAATTTAATGTTTATTTTAAAAACAGAATTAAAAAACAATCCCTGTATAAGATATGGACTGCCTCATCCTTGCGACAATCAGATATATTTAAATTTTGTAATGGTCAATCTTAACTCAGCACCTGAAGATTGTGTTGTGCATGAAACTGTCATGCTATCGGTGAGAGGGGGGGGGGATGTATATTTATTAATATATAGTTTATAGCTCTGTTATATTGTATTGAGCACTATTTTAACCAGCACTCAATGTGTGATATTATATATTATAATTGTACAGGATGTGATGTGTAAATGGTCACCATTTTATATTTTTAATTTTGCACATGCACAGTGTTTGTTTTGTTTTTTTTAATTTTTGTTTACTGTGAAGCATAGTAGGGTCAGTTGGGCAACGTCTGTGAGAAAAAGAGCACCATGACGCAATTCACTCTGCCATAAATTTTGAAGTGGCATCCTGTACTGCTTGGCATTTGTGCCAGAAACTCCAATACAAATATTTCAGAGTGTTTGGGTATCAATCTGAGGACAGTGCAGATGATTTGCAAAAGAGTTGGATGAGTCTAATGGTGATTACAAAGGTATGGCATGCTTGGAAAACTCACTATGACCATACCTATAAGAAAAGAACTCCTGAATTTGTTGGTGAGTGCCTAAGACTAAACACAGAGGTCCTACGTCAAGTGCCTTTAGGCAGTATTGCTGCCCTGGGTCAAGAGGTTGGCTGCTGGAAAAACAAATGTCTGGCAACAGGACTCTGCACCATGCCACACATGATTGGAGAACCCAGTCATGGCTGTCAAACAATTTCTGCAACCACATCACCCCTTACAAATTTACAATCAACTGTAAGACTGATTATCACAGCTTTATCAACAAACAAAAAAACCATCCAGAAGAGTTGCAAATGGTTCCATAGTCTTCTGGAGGCTGTCATTTTATTGAATAAATTTACTCTTTAGTATTTCAAGATATTTTTGTACAATTTTGGTAAATATATCTGTTAAAATGAGATGTCACTTTATTTTCAGTTTTGTGTAATTTAGATGACGATTTATCCATCTGTATATATATATATATATATATATATAGTTTACATGCAAACTTAGGTAATCCATATGGGTAGACCTGAGGAGGATGATATCCAGAGATATATCAATATAAATATATATATATATGTTTGAATAAAAAGACAGACCACGTTAAGATTCCATGTAATAAGCTATTTCACCATAACCCCTTTAACAGGGTTCTGGATCATCAGGCTTTACTTCCAAAAGCTAAAATGAAAAATGAAAAAAGAAATTCAAATTTTGACACTCATCAAAACGTAAAATTAACAAAAGGAAGTGAGGTGGGAGAGAGGATATGAGTGTGTCATATGTATCATTTAGTTTCCTATTTTTAACCCCAGTGTGTCGGCTAGATGTTGCTCAAATTTAACGCAGTGTGTGTGTATGAATATAAACTAAATAATGATATTAGCAACTATGTGCATGTGATAATGTACATCTACAGATGAGCAAATAAATATTTAATATAAAGTACAAATAAAACGGTGCTCAATGTAGTTAAACAGCTAAAAAGTATATATTAATAAATACACATATACCTACATTTGTAGTGCAACTCAGTTTCATGATTACCCAATTCATCAGGTAAAAATGGTAAATGAACTATTTAATATGGTCATTTTTTTAAAAAAATTCTCTCTCATGAGAGGAACGCTGTATTATATGCAGATTCAAAGTTCAAGGTTATAAGTTTAATATTAGGGTATAAATTCAAAATATAGTGTCGGTAAGTAGATATTTGGAAAAAGTCATGATGTATGACAAACTTATATGTATATATTTCTACTGTAAAAAAAAAAAAAAAAAAAAGAGTTGGCATTATGTAAAATGACGTATATAAAAAATATATATAAAAAGTAATCTCTTTGTCTCAAGGAAGTAACATTGTACTGCATATAAAGCTAGCATTTAATATTATTATAAAATAAGCTAAAAATAAAGTGTTGTTTGACCAAGAAATTAGAGGGCAAGAAAAAATTTTAAAAAATCAAAGAAAAAATAAAGCAGGAAATAGAAAAAGGAACATGTATTATACTTTACGCTACAAATAAATGCTAGAAAGGTGCAAGGGAGATAACTTAGTGTACAACAAAAAATATTTGGGTCAGGTCGAATGTAGTAATTTAGTAGATGTTACATTGACCAAGCCAGAATCAAGATATTTTAGAAGAGATTTCCTTATGAATGCATGTTATAAGTTCATTTTGTTTGTTCAGCAGGTTAGGATTGTCAATGTGCTTGAGAATGGTTATTTTCTCTCATAGATAAAGGTTATATTTTCCCCCATAGCTGGTAAAAGGTTTAATTTTAGCAATGAAATTCCAATTTACTACAGGTATGTAGATATCTGTCTTAATTTCCCAGAAAAATTTGGAGAGTGCTGTGGCATTTGAATATTGTTTGTTGGTAATTGTCATTTTATGATGGTCATATGATGGTTTTCTAGTGGTTAGCAGTGGAAGCAAAATAAAATTTAGACTGACCATTCTGTTCAATGATAGGCTTGTAAATAACACCTTTATTTATACATTTTTTATTTAGTGGGCAGGTGCAGTTTTTTCAACAAATACAATTCTTGTTGGTATTAATATTGTTATTGAGGTTGTTTAAATATTTAATATTATTATGCTGTGCTATATATTGCTTGAGGCTTTTGGTGCAGCTGTAATTAATTTTAATGTTCTTGTTGAAGATTTTGTTGAGCAATGAAATATGGCTGAAATGTTTGGATTAAATTAAGGAAAATTTTACCAATGTTGGTTTTGACATATTTAAACATCTAACCAAATATTATACATTTTTGGAATGGGCTGTTTTTCTGCAAAATCATAATTGCTGGAATGCTTTAGAATAATGCAGGAGTTTTCAAGGTAAGAGTAGAAGAGATTTAGGGAAACTAACTATAATCACTAGACACCTGATATTCACATTCCACACTTTTCCTCACCTATGGTTGACTAGTAGAGTCACACCCAAAATTTGGTCTTTTGTTCATTTACATTTATGGAATGTGGTCTTCTTCCCAATGTCCCAGATTTTGTCATTATTATTCATAGTTAGAATTTAACTTGAACATTGTTGAAAATATCCAATCATGAAAGGTTTATTCAATTCCTCTTTAATTTTATTTTCAGAGTGATAAGCACGAACAACAAATGGCTCAGTTGATGAAAGAAAAAGATGACGCTTTGGCTCAAGAAGCAAAATTAACAAAAGCCGGTAATTATTTTAATTCTTTATTTTAGAAAATAGGCATTTGTCTAATAGTTACACTTTATATAAAAAAAAAAACAAAAAACAGTACAGTTTTATATATGATGTTTATCCAAAATGTATGCAGCTAATTTGCTATTAATGTCGAAATAGCCTTAGTCCTCTTCCAGCAGCACTTCCACAGTGATGCCTTGTTTTGTTCCCTCCAAAAAACAGTGACATGAAAGGGAAACAGTATGGAACCCCTATTAACAGTGTTTCATTACTGAATAACCTCTAGGGAGAGTGTCTGTTCACATGTGCAGTAAAAAATGTATTCAAAATGGATACTTTCCAAACCACCTGTGTGTATGTCTGTGCATTTGCAGCTAGCATGGGTTTGAGTTGGTTGATCTATTTTTTTCTATATAGAAACGAGATTTAAAGTTTTTCAGATCAATAAATCTGAAAAGGGGAATTCTTTAGAAGTTTGTGAAAATAATGGCGTTATATTGTCTGTATACACACACACAAAAATCTTTTTTAGAAAGTAAAGCTTCTAGGTTAAGTCACATAAAAATCGATCAAAAATTATTTTAAGTGTCACTTGATGAAAAATAAGAATAATAGATTAATTCCCATGGAAAGACTTGCTTAATATTGATGATTAATTTGGGATATAAAAAAAAAACCTTTTAGAATAAATAGATAGTTTTTAAAATATTGAAAACTTCATTGAAGTATCATGATTAATATACCAGCCATTTATAGTTACCTCCCTTGGAAGTTACTTCCCTTAGTAGTTACCTCCCTTGATACAAAGAAAATATTTGATATCAGAACAAACATTTTTGAATAATGAATTCGAACTGAAACTTTTTCCTTTTTATATATGGCTATGAGGATGTGCAGATAATGTCAGGTGTATCAGCACGGAAAGCGAAATTGTAGAGCAGAGTTCAATTCCAGCCTGTTCTGTTACATTCACTTTTGCACTAATGCCTTTGGGAAAGACATGAATCCATTTCTTCTCCTCACTCCCACCAGCTATGGGTTAAATAGTAGGCTAGGTTGGTCTTACTAGACTTGTGTGGCAACCATCTGAGAAGGAAAATTCCAAACTCTTGAAAAGGCAATAGAAAACCATTCTACTATTTTTTCCCCAAGAAGTAACAGCAATTAAAAAAAGAAAAAGGAATGTGTTGAGAGCTATGATTGCCTACATCTTTAAGTGAATAATAATTGGAGAAGGTAATGGAAATCTATCATCTTTCCAAAGAAGTCATGGCAAAACACAGAAAGAAAATCTGTGGAGATGCAGGATTGCTTACATCTTGAAGGCACATGACATTTAGAATATACATGCAAAGTGGAGTTGAAAATTTTCCCACTTAACCAAATAGGATTCCAGAAGAAATCTCTAATGTTTAGTCATTTGATAAGATTTTGAAAAGTCTGTTGGATCAAGATCCTTTCAGCACCATCTTGACTTTGTGGATGGAGATTTGGAGGACAATCATTTTGATTTTTAAGACTCTTTCCTATAATTCAACATCAGAACTGTTTTGACTTGAAAGCACATTGTAAAAATTAATGTGATTTCTCCCCTTCACCATGATTGCTCCTTTCAAAGCCTGCTCAACTGATCAGGCCCATTTCTGTTTCAAAAACATCCATAGAGCCAACCTATCGTTTACACTTCAACTATACTAAGTGGACCTTATTTACAGTTAAAGTATGTATCACATAGTTTTAAATTCTCATATACTGGTTGCCAACTGTGGCTAGAGAGTTCAGTCTGCTTTGCTATTTAATCTGTAACTGGGCCCAAGTGTGAAAGTGTATGAAATGATCTCAAGTGGAATTTGAAATAATCAGTACTCTGATTTTACCATTACCCCACCTGCACACCTATATGATATAATTACCAAATAAATTTATGCATTTTCTAATTTTGAGGATGGCTTGTGATATTTGGAATATATTTTGGTTGATTGCAGAAGTTATTTTGTAAACATTAGTCAATAGTAAATTGTTTCTATAGAAATCAATTGATAATCGTAAAAGAAAAAAAGTGTTGTGCTCTGGTTGGTTAGTATCATTTCTTGTAATGTGGGGTGGGGGAGAGTTTTGATTTCAAATGAGAATTGAAAATGTCTTTTTCTTTTTCCAGCACTTGAATCTATGAGCAAAGCTTATGAAGATAATCTTGAAACCGAAAAGAACAAATTCAGAGAAGCTTTAAAAACAATGTACACAGAAGATTATGTGAATGAAATTAGGCGTCATCATGAGTAAGTACCTTTTATCAATTACTTTAGCTTAATTTCCCAATATTTAATGGTTGTTATATTTGAAAAAGTAAAAATCTCCCAGAATCACATCATGCAATTAGGATACAAAAACCTTCTGAACACAACTGGTTTGACTCCAATTGTCCACTTAATAAAGAGTAACCCTCTTAAGTTATAGGGTCACATCAAACAAAGGCAAAATGTATTATCAAAAACATGTATTGATGGGTGTGGTTACTGGACAAAGAACCAGGGGAGCCTAGCAAAGTTTTTGTCATGCAACATAATCAAGTGGAGACATGAATCCTTAAACGGAACTACCCAGGACTGAAATCTGGAGTGATTTATGTAATGTGAGTGCACATTCTGCTATGGGAGGAAAGGGTTTGATGATGACATTTGAAACTCCCCCCCCCCCAAAAAAAACATTGATGAAACAAGGAATTCATTTTCTTTCTGGACATAAAATGTGATATAAACACACACACATATGTTGTTTTATCTTTATCTCAAATCTTTGTTTTATAGCCATCATGTGGTTCTTTTTGAAGTTTAGTTTTCTAAGTGGCATCCACCTTGACCAAAGGGGAATGGAGAAGTAAAGGAGTGAATGAGAGTTTGTCCTTAGTATCACCTACTTACCCACCCAGATGAACAATTGAAGTTCCTGAATAAAAATGCCTATTTTATAATAAGGGAAACAGGGTTCCTGTTACTATTTCTCAATGTGACCTTTGCCTTTCATTTTGTGAGCATGCAGTGCCCCTTTCCTAGCTTTAGTTGCACACAAACGAGATTGGGGAATAGAGATGCAGTGTTTGGTAATCAGTGGAAAGCTTGGACAAGTGTATATTTACAAAAGGATCCTGGATCAAGTAGGAAAATTTAATTCATTATGAAAGTGACTCAGAAGACTGGAAAATATATTCAAAATGGCTGAAGAGTTGTTAATCAAAAGATGGCTGTATTTTGCCCGTCCATCTGTCGGAGTAATGGTTGGCAGCGTTAAAACAAAATGTTGTTTTGTAAAAGAAGTCCTGACTAACAAATAAAGATGGTCATCAATAAATGTTTTAAAACAACAAAAGTAGAAAAAAAAATGTTCTTTTTTTTTTTTTTTTTTTTTTTTCTTTTCTATTTTTGCTTGAACTTTTGAGATTTAGTACTTTCAGTCTTCCATACATTTTTGGCTGAGCGCCTTCATTTTTGTTATCTTTAACCACAATACTTCAGTCCATATCTTCAATGTCGGATGTTTGTTACAGAAGTTACTAATGACCACTAAATGTCATATACAACTGAAGATAGTAGAAGATAATATTAACTGAATTGTAATAAAAAAAAAGCAAATTATGAATATACTGGTTTGAATAAATATCTACAGTGACATCTAAAGACAACTAAATGAAAATGTCAGTCAAAGAAAATATTTACTGAAACTTAAAACACTAAATTTTTTTTCTATGCCATATTCAAGATTTAGGTAATCATAGGTCTCCATACATTCCTTTTCTTTATCTGTGAATTTGCCATGACTTTATTTTTGGATAAAGAGGTGGCAGTGGTTTACCCTGCTATTTAACCCATAGTTGGGGAGAGGAGCTATATTCATACTTTACCTAAGAACATTAATGCAAAAGTGAAAGCAAGAATTCCAAAAATGTGAAATTATCTTTTGTTTTGTGTTTTTCTTTTCTTTTCCTGAAGACAAAGGGGCACAAATTTCAGCCTCTGTTAAGATGTGGGTTTCTTTGATTGACCCATAATATGTCACTTAGCTTTATTTCTATTTACATAATCAGGTGTAGAGGTTTGTTTATCCTTTGTTTCCTGTTTATCCTGGGGTTTCTAGTCTCTTCTTAATAAGAGGCCTTAATAAGGATGGCTGTCATGACTTTTGGTGATATAACTAGCTGGAGGCTTATATCTTTTCATATTGAGGGGACCAGGTGGAGTTTTCTGGTTGCTTCATCCCAACTGGTAGAAAGGAGCCTGATTTCTTAAGTAATGTTTAAAGAGTTTACTCTGATCAACAGTTGCATAATATCAGAGTTCTTGCAATGCCATGTTGTGCATAGATAGATATCCCTGCAAGCATTTTCAGTGGGCAATCTTCCATTCAGCTCATCTTGCCTTTGATAACTGATGGCTACTATTATTCTTGTCCTTTTGTACCTTAAAACAATATTACTACCAAAATGATTAAACAAAATAAAAGTAAACCAGATTGAAAAAAAACAAAAACAAAAATCTCAGCCTGTAAACCTTTCTTTAGCATTTGTGGTATTTGTACCAATTTCTGCAGTGTTGAATCATTTCTCTTGGATATCGTAAGCTCTCTGTGAAACTACTCTGCAATATCATAAGCTCCTTGTGAAACTACTCTACAATATCTTTTTTTTTTTAACAATGATCACTTTATACATAACCTGAGGACCACTCGAGGTAGGGGGTTACAGAGTAAGTAGCACAGCTTATGCAGATATGTGTGGAAAAAGGTTAATCTTAGATTTGAACACATTAAGTGATTGGAGAAGCATTCTCTTGAGAGTCGAAGTTTTCATGCCAGCATGGAAATATACCTAGTGAAACCACTATCTTCTTCTTTGTTCTCTCCAGCCTGTTCAGCTGCTATATCCCACAAGAATTACTTCTTCCAGTTATATCAATATGACTGGTCTGATTACAACAGAGATCTTGTAATTTGCTCATAATGAGTGTGCCCTGAAAGAGGCTAAATCACTATTTGCTGATAGAATAAAAGACACTGCGGTACCCTCTCTGATATTAATGATGATGATGCAACATTCACCAGAATACTCTTTTCTTTTCCTTCCTTTTTTTTTTAATAAATATCAACTGAA